AAATAATGCGTATTCCAATGTGTTATGGGAAAAGTCTCCACTCTGGTAAACTAATATTTTTCTTCCTAAGGAATATCATTTCAGGGATTTCATTGTGTGTGATTTCCTGTTTAAATAACTAGAATCACTCTGGGGATAAAAGGTTAATGGATTGTGTTGAAAAAAGAGAAAGGAGTAGAAATAAAAATCTATTAAATCTTTAAAGTTTATATCTAAGAACTAAACTGTACTGGTGATGGGGATTTGAATAGAGTATCTCCCAGAAAACCATTAATTCGAAGTTACCACTCACAAATCACCAAGGCACATTTGGAAAGCATATATTTTAGACCACATATCACATAAATAATCAATCTCTCAAGTGTTCCATTGATAGTGTGTGGGTTTAAAACTCACTTTTGTAGAAACCTTTCCCCCCTGCCCCAGATTTCATTTTGTTCATCTGTGCTTCGTAGAACTGACATATTTTTAACAGGTTTTCAGAAGAATATTATGAATCCCTTCCATTCTTGTAACAGGGTATGAAGGCCCTGTCTCTTATGTCTAATTTAACTCTTCTTACAAAAAGTTGGGGACCATTTACTCTCTCATTCCATCCTTAGCAGAGATAGAAAGCAGCTCACTGTTTTATGTAAATGAATAAAAGCTCCTGATACCAATCAGAACTTTATTCTAAACCTGAAATTCTTCACCACAGTCTTTGGACTTTTGCAGGCCTTTCTGTTTATATAACATTCAGGTCTGTGTTTTTTATTTGAAGTGGGAATTATAAGGATCTGAAAAAAACCTGAAGATAGTAGTAGTAGTGAAGAGCACGGGTACCAGTGTTAGAGCGCCTTGTTTGAAAGCTGGCTCTCCATTTGTGAACTTAGGTAGCTGGACTACTTAGCGTTTTTTCTCCCTGGTCTCCTCATGTGTAAAATGAGGGTAATAATTATATCTACCACGTAGAAATGTTGTGAGGGTAAGAGAACCTCCATGACATGCTCAGTTCAGGGCCTGAGGCATAGCAAGTACCACCCAGTCAAGGTTAGCCTTCAAAATGATAAATATAAAATTGCTATACACACACTCACATGCGCATATGTGTATGTGTGTGTGTGTGTGTGTGTATGTGTGTGTATTCAAGGGGCAAGTGGCTGGTGATGATGCTTCAAAAAATAAAAATAAAAATAGAAAATTACAAACTCTTACAATTCCAGAAAGATAAAAGCGCTAATATTATTCACAGGTACATCATTGTCTTTCACAGAATAACATTTTACTTGCCTGTGAGTCACTCATTATGCTTATGTTTAGTCTTTATGTTATTCTCAGAGCTCCTGGTAGCCCTGTGGGAGACGGTAGTCTTTGGCTCTGGGCCCTAACCTCAGGGCATACTCTCCACACAGGAGGAAGTTTTTTAGTGATGACAGGAATGAGAGAAGTCACTGATTGGGGCAACAGAATTGGAAAGTGACCATGTTTCCCCCAAAGTTGTGAGCATGATGTTGAGTGAGTCCTTCATGTGGTGCCATCTGAATAACCACCCTGGGTCCATGTCTGCCTCTGAGGTTCCCTCTCTGTTACCAGACAACACTATCACGTTAATTTGCTTTCCTCTTCCAGACACCTCTGTGCTTATTAATTCTAATCTCTGGTGTGGAAGAAACTGGAGAGCTTGGGTGTGTTCTTAGTTTCTGTACTTAAGACTGAACTTGTGGTGTTTCTGAGGAATACGTGGAGTGGTTATTATCAGGGGAAACTGAAGAGTATTCATCAGGCACACTGCACATTCGAAGGATGACTTTTTTTTTTAATCAAAATACGTTTTAATCTTGTTGCTAGGATGAAGTGGCAAAAGACATTTAGCCCTAATTAAGCATCTACCAGTGAAATGAAATGTGGTTCTACCTTTTAATTATCTACATTTAATTTATTATTTTCAGGAGCTTGTTGGCCTGAAGACATCTAAGGCCTCCCAAGAAATGGAAACACACAGTTCTGTGAAAATGCTTCCCTGTATCTCAGAGTTGGGAAACTTCAAATATGTGTCATATTCACGTGTCCTCACCAGAACCTTGCCCTAGGTGCTAAGCTAAACACTGGGTGAGGACAGCACCCTCAAGCTCCAGGTAGAAAGGCACCCACCCCAGGAGCTTTGTCTGATGCTGTGGTGAGGATAGGTGCCTCTCTCTGTGACCTGGCAGCTGTGTGCGCTGCCTCCGTCAGAGCACTTGTCACGCCGTGTGTCAGGGTGGATCAAAATGTCTCCGCCTTTAGCCTTGAGGGCAGGAATCATGACCCTCAGTGCCTGGCACTGTGGCCGGAACATACGAGGCATTCAGTACTTTTTTTTTTCCCCCAATAATGTATGCCACAAACCATCTGATATCTTTGATCTATTTCCTATAGTATGGGAACTGGGGCAAAATAATAACCATAGAATGAAAAATAACATGGTGTTAAGATGAAATAAGGTAATACATGTGATGCCATTAATAAACATAAAGGGCCATAGAAGTGATATGTAACAATACACTATTCAAAATACGGGTAAGCTCGTTGTTCAAGCATTTGTTTTCTAGGTCCTAACCCTGGACTAGTAGGAGACAAGTGAAATGTATTCCCTCATGTAAGTGCAGGACTCGCTTCTTCCAGCCTAATGGGCTGTTTTCTGTCTCAGTAGACAGCAGAGTAAGGAGATTCTATCTCAGAACTAAATCCAGGCATCAGAGAGAGTGAGATACCCAGGCAGACAAGTCCTTTAAAGAAGTCTCTTAAATATGATATGGCTACTTTTCCTGGGGAGTTTGACTGTTTTTTTTTCTCTCCCAGAGAATTGAGCAAGGCCATATCCTACTCATGAAACCTGTACTGGAATAGTTGTTTGGCCCTTTGTCTGTGGAAAGCTACATAAATCATTCTCTTGGTTCATCCCCAATCATAAACCATGACAGTGTGGAGATCGAGGCGTGAAGTGGGCACAACGCTGGATAAAGTGGCCCAGGGAAAGGGCAGAGGACCTAGGTTTAAGTCCCTTCCTGCCTCTATGTGGTCTGGGACGTGGAAAGCATCTTACAACAGGAAGAGGGATTCTGACTTTCATTCTTGAATCTAGTTAGTCAGCAAACCATTGAGGGACATTAAGCTGTGAGGGTTGGTAAGCGCTGGAACCCTGTATCAGATTTCCTCCCTGAGTGCCTATCACCAGGCATACTGACAAGAGCAACCATGGCAGGATGCCTCTGGTGGGTTTTGTGGAGTGTGGTAATGGGCAGTAGATGAAAGGTGTGGGGACAGCTGTTGGAAGGCACCGGGCTGCAGTTGGCATGGCGCTGAATGTTAAATACTCTGTCGGAATCTTTCTTTCTCTACAGAACAAGTTAGGATGAGAACTAGAGCCCTTTCATTAGATGTCAACCAGAAATAAATGATACTCATTCTTCTTCTCTCACCATTTCCTTCCTCCTGTCTTACACATTTCTGTTCTTTGCATATGAAAGCATACACCTTCAATTAGCTTGAAAATTCTCTAACTTTTAGTCTCCCAACAGAATTAGCCCTGCTAAGAGTAACTAGTGTTTTCTATCTGATAAATAAGGGGATTACAACAATAACTGCTGTCAGCATTTTTCTCATTTAAACAAATAAAGCTGACAAATGATGAAGTTCTGTGCCTCTCTGTTATGTTTAGTACATGCAGAGCAATTATTCACCTGCTGCCAACATTAGTCTGTGTACAAGTAAACCATCCAACAGCGTAGAAAGCTTATTAGCATATCAGTCCCATAGTCATATTTTTATAGTCTGTAAGACTCTACTCCATAACAAAGGCTGATGGGTGTAATTTGCACAATAATTTAAAGGGTTGGACTTCCTCCTGCTTATTAGAGTTGCACAAGTTATCAGGTACATGCTACTTGTATTTATGAGATGCCATCTTCTATTTGCCTGGCCGTTTTGCTCCCCTGTCCAACTTCCTGTGAACAAGTGAGTTGCCATCTCCTGAGATGCAGAGGTTCATGGCTATCCTTGCAACACTACTGGATGGCCTTCAGCAGAGGGGCATGGGTGGGCATCTCCTTAACTAAAGCATGCTTTCCTTGTGTGTCTCTCATGTGTGGTTTGGGGTGTGTGTGTGTGCATGCGCACACGCAGTAATGAGGACTGTTGCCTTTCATCCTTGGCTCTCTTTGCAAGGCGACTGTCCTGCCCAAAGAAAGAAAGCCTTCTGGTCCTTGGTCAGTGGACCAAGAAAGAACCACCATTAAGAACCACCAAGAAAATTCTCTATTAGAAGAAGAAGGCAAAGTAATAGTAATAATTTTTTAAAAAAACATAAAAATGTCAAGGTCATACTTTTATCCCATTTTGAAGATGTAGCCTGGCTGTGCTTTCTGTGAGTCTCTCCGTTCCTCGCCACCTCATGCCGTTGCTGCGGGGCCTTCCTGGGCTCTCCTCTCAGGGCTGTGAGGCTGAGTTCAACTGTGTTTGTCGTGTTTGTTATCTGGAGCCTGAAAGCCAAGGTTTCGGCCTTCCCTTGGATTCCCAGCCAGTTCACCTGTCCCTTGCGTGCCCGCTGTCCCCTCTTTGTATTGAGCCACGCTGCTGGCATGATTCTGCACACTGCTACTCTGAGGGGTGGGGGCATTTAGAACCACCTGGAACCATGTCTCTGAGGTTGGTGTCTTGAAGTCTTTTTGGCTTCTAGAATCCCAGCAGTTAACTTTGGTGCTACATTCCTCAGGCTAGATTTTATACCCACAAAGTACAAAGTCAAGGTACTGCGAAAGCTGTTGTACTGGATGGAGCCACATAGGTTGGTAATACTTTACACTTGTTCTTTCCAGCCGATTCAGTTGTTGGAATTTAATTAGCTGTAATATATTATTGTCAAAGTAATTAAAACGGTGCCTTGATTAAAAAACAGAATTGTTTAATTAACACAAAAAGGGTTGGCTAGCCTTTGTGGTTGGGAAATACAGCAGCCTCAGTGGATTTGTTCTATCTCCCATCAGGCTTGAAGGTCCGGGAGGTATTTATCAACGTCACCAGGCAGCAGGTGGAGGACTTCCACGGGCCAGAGGACTATTGGTGCCAGTGTGTGGCATGGAGTCACCTGGGGACCTCCAAGAGCAGGAAGGCCTCCGTGCGCATAGCCTGTGAGTACACCCTGGATGACCTCCTTGCCCCGCAGACACCTGAACAAGTGTTCCACAGAGCTGCACACAAGCTTTGCACGTGCCAGGTGCTTCTGCAGAATAAGTATTAGGGGCCAGTAAGAAACCATCAGAACTGTCTCTACCTCTACTCGATTTCCTCTTTGAAAACTGCATTTTAAATGTTTGATAATTTCCTCTTGAGTACAATCAGCAAAATCAGTTTGGCTAAGAGATTCTGCCTAGATTGTCAGAGTGCAGGTGCCTCAACAATGCCAGGAAAAATAGCTCCTGAGAGGAAAGACACCCATACAAATGGATTCTCTGCTGTTCATTATGGATGGCAAAGTCCAAGGGGCAGTGATGGGGAAAGTCGAGCAATGGCTGTTTACTGTATTTTCCATCAGGTCTCCAAAAAAATCAGACATTAAATAGCCTACTATTAAAACCTCTTCCTTCTGCATTTTAAGATGTGGAAATGGGTTTTAAAACTAAAACATTTGTTTGCCCAAGTAGGACCAAAAAAGAAAAAAATAGATATCCAGGAAAAAAAAGTAGGAAGAAAATTGCTTTTCAGGAGAGTCCAAGATTTCTCTAACATATTTCAGCCTCAGTGATTTTTACCAGCTCAAGCACATATAGAAATACACTAACTTCCTTTTTACTCCTTTACCGTATCTGCAGCCCACCCATGCCTATTCTCCCCTCCGAACCCCTGGGTCCCCATAAGACCTCGTTTATTATGTCTAAAAGCCACTCCAGAAAGAAATTGTGAAATGGAGGGCAGAGATGGATATTGTTGTTTTATTTAAATTCAGCCTTTTGAGAGTGCCATAAAGAATACAGGACGAGGGGGATTTGTTTGAGGACTCAAGGAATTCTTCATAGCAGATGTCAGTGGTTTAGGGGTTAAGAATAGGAGTGAGCTGCTATTTGCACAGACATTTATGTTTCTTGGGAAATGAAATCTTCATCTCAAAATATACATTTCACCTTCACGGTACTGGAGATTGGGAGATCCTTTCCTGCAATATGACTGAGCCCTGGGAGGCCAAGGAGAAGTCATCTTGTAAACTGTGCTCTTGATGTAAGAGTCACGGGGAACATTTTCCTATAAGTATTTAGTTAATTTCAGCCAACTACTTTATGACTAAAAAGGAGCAGGTCAGCTGAGGGAGGGAATCCTTCATTTTACTGTCCAGTAACATGTCCAGTGCTGGGCTTCATGCATGGCTTTGCCAGGCTGGCCTGGTATTTGACCCAAGTCAGGGTGAAGCAGATTATCCTCCAGGCTCTGTCCCAAGAAAGGAGAGACCCACATAGGGGATTTCTGCACAGGTTCCCTCAATTTCCTCCTTCTCAAGGTCCCTTTCCCCCTTCTTTCTCTTCTACTACTTATCCAAAGCCCACTTGACCTAGTCTGTGATTTACTATAAATAGCATCTCACTAATCCATCTGTTTCCAGTCTCTCTCACCTCCATGCTTGCTCTTTAATTCCTGATTGTCATGCTCCTGCTGGAAAACTCCAGGGGTTTTCTCCTTGCTTACAAAGTTTGGCCAAGAATGGTTGACACCCACCTTTATTAATTTCCCAAAACCCTTGTTGTCCTGCGTCCTGTAAGCAGTTGGCTGTTCTGCACATCCCATTTGCTTCTTTGGTGTGCGCCTTGGATCCTGCCGTTCCCAGGCTCACACGTGTGCCCTGGTGGTTCAGAACCCGACTCTGGGGTCCTGTCAGGTTCCAGTTTCAGCGTCACTACTTGGTTTTGTAACGGTGAAACTTTATTCATCTTTATTCATCTCTCTGTGCTTTAATGTCCTCAGTGATGAAAGGGTAAATACTTCATAGAATTATTGCAAGAGTTAGAGTATTGGTAAGTGTAAAGTGTTTAAAACTGTATCCAGCACAGACTTAGCCCTTATCAGTCATTAGCTATTATTTTATGGCATAGGTCATCCTCCTGTCCACCAGCATCTTCATCAAGAGAATCACTTCTACGTACTGAAATGTACTCAACTGAACTACAGTTTTAGTGCCGTACTGATTTTTCTGAAGGTTATAGATCTAAGGACTCTAAAAATCCATTCTAGGCCAATGCTAGATATCCAGCTCTCCCGTGCATAAGATCAAAGAATGTAATAAATGGAAAACAAATTTTCTATCATCCCACCCTCTTAAGAGTCATCTGATACTTTTATAGTAGTAATCTCAAAAATCTCTTCAAGAATTAAAAAAATCATTCATCATTCTTATATACAATATGCATATATGAATATGATAAAGGTGTGGTTTTTAAATTTTAAAAAATCATTAAAGTGGAGGCGGAGCCAACATGGCGGCATGAGTAGGACAGTGGGAATCTCCTCCCAAAAATATATATATTTTTGAAAATACAACAAATACAACTAACACTAAAAGAGAGACCAGAAGACACAGGACAACAGCCAGACTACATCCACACGTGCGAGAGCCCAGGGCCTGGTGAAAGGGATAAGATACAAGGCTCGGCGGGACCCGAGCACGCCTCCCCCCAGCTCCCGGCAGGAGGAGAGGAGTCAGAGCGGGGAGGGAGAGGGAGCCCAGGACTGCTAAACACCCAGCCCCAGCCACCCGCACCAGAGTGCAGACACAGTGCATGCATGGGGTGCTGGAAATTAGGGAAACAGGGCAGCAGGACCGGTGAGCAGCAACCGAAGCTGATGCCCCTGTGACAAAGAAAAGCAAGTGCTTTTTGAAAGTCTTAAAGGGACAGGGACGCAACAGCTGGACAACACAGGTCACAGCCCAGTGGCTGGAAATTACAGGGAAAACCGGGTGCACTAACCCCCTGGGCAACAGCTCTGAGACCCCTCACAGAGGTAAACAGCCAAACAGCCCCCCAGTCCATTACCCCTCTGGGCGCTGCGAAAGCAGAGAAGCAGCCTAAGGCAGGCCCCACCCCCTCAGAAAGGGAGCTTCCGTCACACTGGCCAGGCAAGACACAAAGACCCAGTCTACACGCAATTACCGAACACAAACCACTAGGGGTCGCAGTTGTCCCAGTACAGAAAGGCCAGTAGCAAGTGAAAAGTTTGGCCCTCCCAGCCAACAGTCAATAGCACCTGTCAACATGAAAAGGCAAAAAAATATGATCCAGACAAGACTAACCCAGACAGCTTCGGCATCTGCTACATCTTCCCCTGAGAAGGAACCTGGGAAGATAGATTTAACCAGTCTTCCTGAAAAAGAATTCAAACCAAAAGTCATAACCATGCTGATGGACTTGCAGAGAAATATGCAAGAACTAAGGAAGGAGAATACAGAAATAAAACAAGCTCTGGAAGGACTTCAAAACAGAATGGATGAGATG